TGAAGTTTCCTGATGGATGGCCTCAGCCCTTGACCCACTAATTTTTATTGTCTATCCTGCCAAGTTTTACTTCCTGGCACAGCCCGTAAATTCTGTTTTTTCATATTGAGCCTTGGCTTAAGGCTTCTGCCGTTGAGGAGCAGGGAGGCCAGAGATGCTGTGAGTGTAATATACACACCAGATTTGGTACTAGGTTTTAAGTGTATTGAGCTACGCTTTTATTTTTCTCACTAACTCTTACCCAGGACGCAGTTTATAAAGCCGGTGACAGAGGTGTGGTTCTGCTTCGGGGGGCCACGCTGGGGGCCCTGGCGGCTATCCCTTCCTGCCTGTCCCTCCCCTCTTGGGGTCCCAGCCCTCCCGGGCCTGGTCTGATCTTTCCATTTTGAAGATGGGAAAACAGAGGATCTGAGAAGAAAAGGGGCCTACCCAAGGTTCCAAGGACACTAGACCAAAACCCAAATGTGCCCATTCCGTGCTGGCAGATTCAGCAGGCACAGGGGCATGAAGACGGATAAGACATAGGTGCTTACCTGAGGGAAATTCCAGTCTGATGACAGTGTGGGGGGAGTAGGGAGGGGGAGGTGGCGACCCCCACAGCAGCAGCAGCAGCAGCCTCAGAATAGCGGCTCCTGTCTGTTGAGCTTGCGTTGACCACGCCCCCTCCCCAGGCTGTGCACCTCATCTGCTTGTGGCCACTTAATCCTCACAACACCCTTTGGGGCGAGTACTGTGACCCTCTCACTGTACAGATGAAGAAACCCCATCCAGTGATTTTCAACTTTTTGTTTTTGCAGCTGAATCCCTCCTTCAAGGGAGATCTTATATGGAACCCCAAATAAACCAGGCAACACCAGGGGAGCCCCCCTCTTAGCCTCTCCTCCTGACCCCCCTGCAGGTGCCCCGAGGAGCTTTCCCAGCCTGAGATCTCCCCCGGGCACTGTTGAAAGCCCACCCCTGTGATCCTGTAATTCTTGGATTTCTCCAAGAGGGATAGGTACCAGCAGAATTTCCCAGCCCACTTGTGCTCATTTTGCAGATGAGCACATGGAGGCCCGGGGATGGAGGAACTCAGCGAGCATCACCCGGGAGTGACTCCCCCAACTCACGCTCCAACCAGAGTCTTGAGAGTCTCGGGCCTGCATCCATCCGTGACACCTCTTTTATTAGGAAACGGAGGCCTTTTATTAACAGTTATAAAGTACCGTCTCTTCCAAGCCGTATTTTAAGGCCGAGCTTGCAGGGGGCTCTATTAACACGCTGTTTTCATCTCCCTCCCACCCTGTCTCCTCCCCACCTCCAGTCCTAAATGTCTCCGACCACAGGAGGAGAATCTTGCTTTAGAGAAACCATGCGTGGGAGCCAAGTGGGTGAGTGTGGCTTGAGGCTGACAGCTCCGCGGTTTACCTTAGGAGTTCTCTGTTCCTCTCTGCTTATTTAATGTAATGCTTCATCACTCCATAATATTCACAGGACACTTGACATTAAAAAGGGCCTTTTAAATCCTCTAAAATAGGACTTTTTAATTTGACAGCACCTTGGGGTGTGTAAGTGGTACAGTGACTTTCTTGTGTGTGCTAAGAGGGAGACTTCTTCAGGAAGTTTGATGATTGCCCCCCTCAGGGTGGCATCTCTGGAGGTGGCCTGCCACCCCAGCCCCATCCCCCCTGCGGCAGGCCCCATAGCTGCCACCTCCTCCTCTCTTCTTGCTCCTTCCCAGCTCTTTCTCCCAAGCTGGCTCTGATGTGGATTTCTCCCTCCTGTTCCCTCATCCTGGCCTGTCCTTTCTCCCATAAATGAGTCAGCTGGCAAAGGTAACAAGCATGGGAAGCTCCCAGGGTCCCAAACCTGTCCCAGCTGGTCCTGTCCCTACGTCCCCTTTTGTGTGGTTCTGAGCGGCTCCCTCGTGGGACCCAGAGGTGAATCTAAGGCTGTGTATCCCAGACGTTGTTTCATAAGATTCCAATTCCAGGAGCAGCTTCTCAGAGATATGGTTTTATGGTCAAAAGGACTGGGAAATTCTGCTTGTACCTTGTCCCTCTTGGAGACATCTAGTGTGTGGAAACACACCAAAATATCTGAGCAGTCCTGTAGTCCACAGTCCCGTGGAACTTGGTATAGCCCAAAACCTATCTGAGCACCAAAAACATGTTTTGCAGCCCACATGAGAGATGTTAGCTCGGAGGTGGTCCTGGATGTCTCTGTGAGTTGGTTCCGGAAGCCTCCGAGCCCTTCACAACGGTCCCTCTTGGCCCCGGGTTGGAGACCAGGGATCGTCTCCTGGCTTCACTCAGAAAAGCCAAATTAGGTTGTTCTCTGAGGGCCTTCAGGAAGGTTTTTCTCATCTATACCAGAGTGTTGTCAGCTGCTTGTGCTTCTTTGGAAGTAAATAGAAATGAATCAAAGGAGGGCCCATTTATGGTCTGAACATTGCATTCTTGGGGTCTGGTCAAAGGAAGGTGTCAGGCCAAGCTGAGCCATTCTTAGAGGAAAGGATGGCACCGCGGCTTTCTGTATTTGGAAAGCAAGTCCTTTCTTATCAAGCCAGCTGTCACATAGTGGATTTCTCCTACAACATGCCCACACATGCACACACTTACATTAATAAGACGTAGCTCTGCATTCTGAAATGGAGGCTTTTTCTGTTAGCTAAGTGAACTTTGGCTTTAGTTCGTTTTTAATTAACAACCAATTCCAGCTTTTTGATTGATTAGTTATCCTTTCCTAGTTTTCATTTTTCTCTATTCTGGAAAATTCCATCAGTCATTTCACAGATGAGCCATGGTTTTGTCTGTTTGTTTACATGGGGATCTAAAGAGGCAAACTGCCACGCAGAAGGTGACACCGATTGTGTTAGTTTCCTGGGGCCGTGACCAAGTACCACAAACTGAGTGGCTTACACAGCAGAAATTTATTGTCTCCAAGTTCTGGAGGCTAGAAGTCCAAAATCTAGGTGTTGGCAGGGGGTTCCTTCTGAGGCTATGAGGATCTCTTCCAGGCCTCTCCCCCAGCTCCTGGTGGTTGGCTGGCAATCTTTGGGATTCCTTCGCTTGTAGAAGCATCACCCAGATCTCTGCCTTCATCTTCACGTGGTGTTCTTCCTGTGCGTGTCTGTCCAAATTTCCCCTTTTCATGAGGACACCAGTCATGTTGGATTAGGGGCCCACCCTTCCCCAGTGTGACCTCATGGATATTTAACTAATTATGACTGCAAAGACCCCATTTCCAAGTAATGTCACATTCTTACTTGCATTGTGGTACTGGGAGTTAGAACTTCAACGTATGAGTTTGGGGCGGTGGGGGGATGACACAATTCAGCCGATAACACCAATTCCGTACACAGTGCTCAGTCCATTCCACAGCGTATGAGGAAGCCCCGAGCTGCCGCCTCCCCGTTCGGCCCACCAGCTTCAGAAAGGAAGGCTGATGGCTCAGCTCACATAAGTTGAAGGACAGGTGGGAACAGGCTCAAACACAGAAGTGCTGGCAGCTTCTGCAGCAGGCTGACATTTTCTAAGAGGAGAAGGGCCCAGAATCTCCTCAAGGCTTTCTGACTAGACCAACCAAGGAAGGTAGAGAACTGGAATTGGGACCATTTCAGTAAAAAGCTTCCTGCCATGTGTGCAGTCCTGGGGTGGGGCCTGGGGAGTGCAGCGTGAAGCAAACCCAGGCCCTGCCCGTGGGGAAGCTGCGGAGACAGACACGTGAGCTGCATGGCGCAGTGTGGACCCAGTGCTATGGCCGTGATGACCTTTGCTTAGTGAGGGGACACAAGGCTTCACAGAGGAGGTGACGTGTGAGCTGGGCTCGTCATGTTTTCAGAGGAGGAGGGCAGAAGGGCGTAAGGCCCTGCTGTGTCCCCCGGATTAGATGAGAGGCGGGGTGGTGTAGGGCGGAGCAGCTGGGGTCCGATGACAGGGTCCTGAGTCAAGCCCTAGGCCATCCCTCAGTTTCTTCATTGGGAACATGGTTTTAGTTGAAAGACTCAACTTACAGGTGTGGTGTCAGCATCAGATGAGTTCACAAGGGTGAAATGTCATGGTTCTGGGACATAGCAGAGACAGGACCCAAACACAGGGGTTAGGTATCCTCTGTGATGTGGAGAATGAGCAGTAGCCTTCTCTAGCCAAGGAGAGCAGCCTGGGAAGTGGCAGAACTGGACCCCAGTCCCTCTGGACCCCCTAGGCCAGTCACCTCCTCCCTCTGAGCCGTTCCCTCAGGAGGGAAAGGAGGGGTCTGAACGAGGCAGTCTCCTCTGGCCGCGACAGTGGGTGATTCTGTGAAAGACGCACTGGGATGCAGTGGCCAGAGCCATGCACGCTCGGAAAGCCAGCAGACCTGGGTTCAAATGGCAGTCCTGCCCCTTCCTGGTGGTGTGATTTGCGTGAGTCACTCAACCTCTCTAAGCTCAGTGTCCTCATCTGTAAAGTGGGGACAACAGCAAATACCTGCCCCAGAGTTAACTTAGAAAATCCTCGTGATGTGCTTAGCACGTGCTTGGCACGTGGTAGTGCAAGTCAGCCACTGCTGTCTGCTGCTTTTTGTGAGGCTCGCGTGGGATATGGTCGGAGAAGGGCCTGCAGGCAGCACGTGCTCAGCTAACCATCGACGCTCCCCTCTTTTAAGGTCGGCCTTGGCAGACTTTCCAGCATTCACATTTTCCTTCCGGGTGTGGGGTGAAGGGTGGAGGGTCGTACAGAAAATTATTTAAACTACTTGAAGAATAAAATAGTTTTCAGGCACCCATAAGCCATTTATGACCACCTATTACCTGTAATTAGTGGCCGTGCCAATACAACGAATTACAGTTCATTAATTCGCATGCCCCACAGGACTTTTATCTTGCACAGTTTTATTAGAGAATTAGTCCAGCGTAGGGCAGTGTTCTGCTGTAGTAATTATTATCCAGACTTTTTATAAAATCGTGCCCAGGCCGCCATGTGAGTGACAGTATCTATTTGCTCTGAGAGAGCAAATCCAAGAAGGATCTTTCTAAGATATGTCTCTTTCTGGTAGGTCATAGATCAGCACACAGACTCGGAAGACAAAAACAAGCTCTTCTACAATGTCGTACAGACGAGAGCTAGAGAAATACCGAGACCTGGATGAAGACGAAATCCTCGGAGCCCTCACAGAGGAAGAGCTCAGGACGCTGGAAAACGAGCTGGATGAGCTGGACCCTGATGTGAGTAGGCACTAAGGGGAGCAGGTGTCACAGGTGCAGGGGCAGCCACCGTCACCACCTGGGGGAGGGCAGGTGCAGACTTCCCAAAGCTACCACGTCCTCTTCCCTTTTATGGCAGTGACACTGGAATAACATTGCCTGTGCAGGGGTGTGTGTGTGTGTGTGTGTGTGTGTGTGTGTGTGTGTTGTGTATTACTCAGGGTTCTCTAGAGAAACAGAACCAATATGATATATACACATATAAAAAGAGATTTGTTATAAGGAATTTTCTCCCACAATTATGGAGGCTAACAAGTCCCCAGATCTGCAATTGGCAAGCTGAAGACCCAGGAGAGCTGTAGTGTAGTTCCAGTGTGAGTCCAAAGGCCTGAGAACCGAGAGAGCCGATGGTGTAGTTTCAGTCACAAAGGCTGGCAGGCTCAAGACCCAGCAAGAACGGATGTTTCGGTTCAAGTCCAAAGGCAGGAAGAAAACCAGTGTCCCAGCTCAAGGCAGTCAGGCAGAAGAAAATTTGCTCCTGCTGGTGGGAGGGTCAGCTGTTTCATTCTATTCAGACCTTCAACTGATTGGATGGGGCCCACCCACATCAGGAAGGGCAATCTGCTTTACTAAGTCTATCAATTCAAATGTTAATCTCATCTAGGAACACCTTCACAGACACACCCAGAATAATGTTTAACCAAATGTCTAGGCACCTCATGGCCCTCTCAAGTTAGCACTTAATATTAACCATCACAAGTCCAGTCTTTGTCGACTTGGCACCCATACAGATCTCCTTAAACCACACTTATCTCCATATAAAGACAATAACAAGGTCATAATTCTGCCTAACATGACACAGCTCTCCCATGTACCACCTTCCAGAAGAGGAGGCGAAGTCCTTGAGTGATGTTTACTCTTCTCTTTGATATTTCACAGTTTAAGTGCTATGATGTAAAATTAACAATACTTAAATGCTATGATATAAAATCAATATATCTTACATTACATGATAAGAGAATAAGAGCGAGAAGAAAACAAAGATATTTGCTTAATACACACACACACACCTACACAAACATGTTCATAACAAAAGAGGGAGGAAATACTCATGACAATTATAGTCCTTGTTTGTCTAACTGGTCACATGGCCGTAGTGGTATTTACACTCACCCATTCTGTATTCCTTTTGCCCTCAGAAAGCACCTCAGCTGGTCGTGGGGTTTTGCCTGGTAGGATGACACCACCCTTCATTCCTGAAGGGTCTGGGCCATTAGTAGTTCTGCTGGATTGGGTTCTTGTAGTTTTCCATTGACGTTAATCACAGGGCATGGTGATCCTGAGAAAGCCCTGAGGAATCGCCTGTCTTACAGACATATTCTTCCTTACCTTCATGGTGGAGCAGCAGTCCAGTGTCCCTTTGGTAATCAGGACCAATCACCCAAGCCAGTGCAGAAACTCCTTCTCTGTCTATTGATTCAGAGGAATAAGGAGCCCAAAGTGGCTGGGCGGCAGTCTTGACTTCCAGTCCAGTGGAATCACTGTTGTGTCTCCTGGTAGAAGCCTTCCTCCCTCTGGAACTAAGACCTCTAGGCCAGCAGAGCATAAGGTCACAGGAACAGGAAGGAAGCATTTTGCCCATGGGTCACTAGAGGTAGTAGTGGGTGGTGCCACTCCCGTTTGTACCCTTGCATCCTGGACCCGTGAATCCTGGCTATGGGAGAAGCAGTGCCATATACCGGACACTGATTCAGGGTGCATACAGCCTCCTGGAGAACCTGCCCCAGCCCTGCAGGGTATTGCCCCCTGGCTGGCACAGTAACTGAGTCTGTAAAGGCCCTTGCCACCATTCTGTCTAGCCAGCTGCTTCCAGATGGTGGGGAGCATGTGTCATGGAATGCATTAACTGAGAAATAAAGGACTAGAAGAATCCCTGTCACTTGTTTGATGTTTTTGTCATTGCATTTCCTAGTTGGCACATTTAAGAAGTGTGTTTAATGCTCAGAATTTGCCTCTACAGTCAGGACACAGCATCAAGAGGCAGGAGGCTCCCTGGTCCTGTGTGTGGTTGGGCCAGCCACCCTGGAGCCGTGAGTGGGGCTGAGGGAGGAATTCCTAGGTGGCCTAGTAGACAGGGCCTTCATCCTATACCTAGATCCCAGGTACCCGGTCAATGTGCAGCACAGAGAAGGTAGATAATGAATGTCACTGAATTAAGCGAATTTTCCATTTGATATATTTTTTAGTTAAAAATGGGACATTTCATGCCTTTTTTTTTAACCTATCATTGCTCAACTCTAGTTTAACAGTCATCCATAAAGAAAAGAGCACAGCTCTACCATTTCACTAGCCCTCGAGTGATTGCAGCTCGTGCAGAGGGAGTGGAGGTCAGCAGGAAAAGTGCAGGACTAGAGGTCTGAGGTCCGGTTCACCCTTGGCCCTGTCTCTTCCACTCCATGTGACCATGGACCAGTTGCTGTCCTTCCCTACATCATGAAATGATGAAGTTGGTTGGTCCCTTTCAGGGCTGGGCCTCCATGAGCTTATAACCTGGTCTTCTCCAAATTCAATTAAATGGCTTCTTTTTAGATAACCCAGAACCCTTGTCTAGGGGTCCTGGGTCCTAGGCCCCACAGAATGACAAATCCCTCCAGCAGCATGTCATCATCTTGCTATTCACGCCTTCCCCCTGCCCTGCCACGAGGAGAGGGCTCCCAAAGGAGGCTGTGCAGGTGGATGAGACGGCAGCGTTGGTGGGGCAGCCTTGGGTTCCTCCTCCCCACACCATCGCTCTCTGTTAGCCTGGGTTTCAGTAAAAACAAGCGACGGAGACAAGAAACAATCAACCTTCCAGCCACATTGCTATAAAATTATTCTGTTCTAATTCTGTCCTAGATCACTGTTGTGTAGAATTACAAGAACAAATAGCTTTAAAAAGTGAGAAAAAAGGGGGATGTAGCTACCTCTAGTCAATTCAGTACGCATGACTCCATTACCTGCCAGGCTCCGGGGCCTGTGCTGGCCACCAACAGGGCAGCCTGGCGGGCACTCTGCCCTTCGGGTGCTCAGTCCGGGGGGGGGTGGGCATAATAAACTACGTCCTAAACAGAGGGAGCAGACAGGACCTCAGGGAGAGGGTTAATTCTTACTGGTGGGAGGCTTTCCAGAGCAGGTGACGTTCGAACTGGGCCCCGGAGTTTTCTAAGTCAAGAATAAAAACAAAGAATTCTAGGCCAAGTGAAGGCCACAAGCAAAGGCTCATGCACGAAAGGTAACTGTGGTCGGGGACTGTCAGTGTGGCTTCTGTGGAGGGTTAGAGGAGCCTGGAAGGAGGTTTGGACGAGACAATGGGGGTCGGGGGGGCCAGGCAGGTTGAAGAGTTTGGACTTTTCTCAGAGGGCCAGGGGAGCCTTTGGGGGCGATGATGCGGTGGGCTTGCTGATTGAGGACAGATGGACTGGAGGAGACGCCAGGGGGATGGGTGAGAGGTAGGAAGGGCTCACATGGGAGCCCCCATCATCCTGCCTGACCGGGGCGGGGGGAGGGGCGAGTTCTTTTCTGAAGATAAGGAAGGGCCCCTGCCCCTCTCCGAAACCCTTCCACCATGTTGCACAATCTTTGCTCTTCTCAGGGGAGAGAAGTGCAGACCCCCAGGGCCCCCGCCAGGCCTGCTGCCTGAGGCCTTGGAGCTGTTGGAGTTGCCCCGAGCTGCTGGGTGGGAATGGATTTAGATTAGGCTGTGGCTGAAAATGGGGTAAGTGATGACAGGCCAGAGCCAAGCGTCCAACCTGGGAGTGGGGAGGGCAGATAGAGGAGCCCTGTCAGAACGGAGAGTGGAGCCCCAGCTGGGAGCTCGGTTTTCCTTCTAAACTGGCAAAGAGCTCCCACAGCGCCCCTGCCCCAAATATCAGGGGATCTGGCCCCAGCAGCCAGTTCCCAGGGCCTCGGTACCTCTCCTTCGGCCAGCTCCGCCAGCCCTTCTCCCAGGTGACCGAAAACAAGGTACGCTTGTGTCCACTGAGGGACGGAGGACCAGGGACTGACTGACTTGCCTAGCCTCACAGGACCAGGGTGCAGAGACTCAGATTTCAAACGGGCTCCACTGTGTGCACCCCCACTCCGGCAGGAGGAGGCAAATGTGCGTTTGGACTAGGGGTAGGGTGGGCAATCCGAGACCTGTGGGTCTCGTTCCATGTGGTTTCAAAATGGACATTTTCAAAGACCCCTTTCTCTCTGAGTTCAAGGAAAAGAAAAGGGAAATCAGAGAGAGGATAGGAGATAACAGAGGCCAGTGGGGTTTTTGTCCCTGCCACACAATTGGCCCCTTCACTGAGATGTCTCTGTTACCTGATTTGCAAGTCAGTACGTGAGTTTGTAAAGACCTAGTAGGCCTCCCGTCTTTCTGAGAGCACAAACATTCCAGCTTGAGTTTCACCTGCCATTGGCCCACGTGCTGAAATCCCAGCGAAGGGAGAGGCCCAAGGTATGCAGAGCGTGAGAGGGTGGCCAGGTGGACACCGGCAGGTGTCCACCTCTCCACTTACAGAGCACAAACTGCACCCAGAGAGAGGAAGGAACTTGTTCTCAGTCACACGTCCAAGCGGAACCAGACCAGAACCCAGGTCCCCTGCTCTCTCTGTCATACTCTATATGCCTCCTGCTTTAATTTTCGTTTAACAGGTGCTCGTGTGGCACTTTCTATGTGCAGACACTGCTCTAAGCACTTTGGAAATATTAATTCACCCAGCCATCCTCAGAATCCGCCATCCTCAGAATCCAGTGATGCAGGCAATATCACCCCCATTTTACAGATGAGAAAACCGAGAGGCCAAGTAACTTGTCCAGGGTCCCGCAATGAGGCAGTGGCAGAGCAGTGACGTGGTTCTAGAGTTCCCGTTCTAGCCACGCTGCTATAAGGCTTTGCTGGAGTCTTCGGGAAGGTAGTCTGAGCCACAGACTACCTTCTGCTGTGTGCGAAATCACCCTCCTTTCTTCTTGGAAACAACCTGCGATGCAGAAGT